AAAGAGACTGTTTGATAACATGGTGTGCAAGCTTGCTATGAACGATATATTCATGCCAGCTTGAGGGGGAGTGTTGAATATTAGCACAAAATCAAAACAGATTCTGTCATACAGCTCATTATGGCTGGATTCAAATTGTGATTAAATAGAAATTAATTGTATTATTATATTCTTACCTTATTTAGGATTAGCATTTATAGGGAGAATAATTACCCCTATTTCTTAGTGTAATTTATATTCTATAAATACTCATGTACTATGTTACAGAATAAACAATATAGAAAAAGCATATTTCTATAGTTTTAAAATCATTTCTTTTTGGAGAGAAATATTCTTAAAGCCATTTAAAGAATCAACATACATATCATTGAACATATTAGACTATTCACTATAAGAATACTCATTATCAAAATAAGAAATACATACCTTTTAAGTTTTATCTTTCTTTCGAGCTTTCTTCTTTCATCTTACAAAATTCTTTATATTTCTTTTATGATGTTTGGTGAGACTTGGATAAGTGGATCAAAAATGTCCTGATTTTCCACACTCGTAACACATAATATCATCATTATCATCATCCTTTTTCATGTATTTATTATTAGGTGGGTGACTATTTCTGAAATTCACTATTCCTTTGTCGCTATGATTGAGCTTGTTTCTCTTTAAGTTTCTATTGTAGCGTCTGACGAATAAACCCATATATTCCTTTTTAGAAGATTCTTCATCAGAATTATCACTTTCTTCCTTTGAATTATTCCATTTAGATGACGAAACTTTCAAAGAAAGATATCACTTCTCTTATTTTCCTTTCTCTTTCTTTTTTGATTCTACTTCGCTATCGGCGAGTCGTTTTAGTGCATTCCGCTGCTCGACTAACTTTCCAAACATTGTAATATATAAAGTTTTAAGATCGTTAGATTCTTTAATAACGATAACCTTTGGTTTCCACTCCCTACAAATAGATATCAATATTTTGTTAGTAAAATCTTTGTTAGAAAGGTTTTGCCCAAGTTGCATAACATGTTGATTAAATAGAGGAATCCAGTTTGCATGTTATCCACGAATTCTCTAGGTTCCACACGAAATAATTCAAACTCCTTTTTATACATGTTGATTTTTGAATCCTTGATGTCATCTGTTCCCTTAGAGAGAGCTTGGAGAGTGCCCACATACCTTTAACACTCATATGATATGAAAATGAGTAGAATACTTTTGCGCTTAAAGCGGAGATAAGTATGATCCTCGCTTTCAATCATATGAAGCCTTTTTGGTATCATCACCCGTTCAATCCTTAGAATGTTTAACAAAGTCGTCATCGTCCTTCGAAATAAATGGTCCCTTTTTTGTCAACTTATAGTAAGGGTATAAACATGTTGGCTCTCCAATAAGTATAATTTTCTCCTTTGAAAAACATGTGCTCTATTATGCGCTCCCTTAGGATCGTCATCATTTGCCATATTCATAACTTTTTTGATGTCGATTAGACATAATCAAAAGACCAATTCTTGATGCCAATTATTGGATGAAAATATGGAAGTGGAAAAAAGGTCTAGATGGGGGTGAATAGACCCTTATTGAAAAATTCAACCTCTTTTTAAAAACTGAATATCAGAGATTTTTCAAAAATGTGTGCAGAATGTTTGAAGTGAAAATATAAAAATTATACTTTTCGAAACTTGATCACATTAACACTAAATAAATCTACAAATATTAAGGATTGTTTTCACGAAGACATTCTTGTTTTCTTTCCCATTTGACAAGCATCACATGATTTTTCTTTCAAAAGCTTTATTTTAGGAAGACTAACAACAAGATTTTTGGATGCTATTTTATTTAACAACTCAAAATGCATGTGACTTAAACGTCAATTCCATAACCAAGAATCTTGACTCTTGTCTATTAAACACTTAGTTTCATGCATTAACACATCATCCAGATCAAGCATATAGACATTTTCAATCACAGAATCTGTAAATACAAGGTCTTTACTAACTTTATGCTCAATTACAGAACTAAGAGTATCACAAACTACATAATACCCTTTGTCACATAATTGGATAATACTAAGTAAGTTTTGATTAAGTCCTTTGACTAAAAGCACATTTTCAATGGTAATATTGAAGGTATTTCCCACAATACCATCACCAAGAATTTTACCTTTCGTATAGTCTCTGTACGTGACATGACCACTTTTCTTCTCATCGAACTTGATGAACATGGAAGCATCTCTTGTCATGTGTCTTGAACATCCACTATCTAGAAACTATAATCTTTTTGCAGATGCAATACTTTTCTGCGACAATTCAATTAGACAATTTAGATCCCCTAACTAGTGGATTCTTTAGGGTTAGTTGAGTTAGATTTAGGAATCCATGTCATTTTACCATCGGGAACTTGAATACTCCTAACATGACAAAGAGGCCTAATGTGATCCTTATCTCCACAATAATGACAAATAACTTTAAATGAAATGCTTTTTCTATTTCTTTTAGTAACATGAGGATTTTTCTTAAAAACCTTCCCCCTTTCACTTGAAGAACTAGAACAAGTGCAACATAGTGAAGTAACATGTGTTAGTTATCCCTTAAGATTTTAAATTTCAAGTTTTAAAATTGGACACTCAACACATTCCATGATTTCTATCTTTTCAACTAAAGTATCTGAAACATTACAACGCTCATCAATTAGAGATGTGTGCATTTCCTTAAGAGATTCTAAAGCCCAATTAAGATGATTTATCTACTCTTCAAGTTTTAAAATCATTTCTTTTTGGAGAGATTTTCTTAAACACTTTTATATAATCTGAATACATGTCATTGAATGCATTCGACAATTCACTATAAAAGTACTTATTATTAGAATCAGAATTATATACCTTTAAAGTTTCACCTTTCTTATATTTTATCAAACAAAATTTGGCACACTCATCATATGAACTCGAGCAAGAATCGGAGGAAGAGCTCTCATCCTCTTCTTCCCACACAATGTAGGTTGTACGACCTTTGGAACTCTTTACTTTTGTCTTGTAGAAATTCTTGTCTTTACTTTTATGATGTTTGGTGAGACTTAGACATGTGGTTCTATAGTGTCCCAATTTTCCAAACTAGTAACACATGATATCATCATCACTTTTCTTGTGATATTTCTTAGGTGGATGTATATTTATGAAACTCACTAGACCTTTGTTGGTATGCTTGAGCTTGTTTCTCTTTAGATATATATTGTAGCGTCGGACGAATAAATCTATTTCTTCCCTTTGGAAACTTCTTCATCAGAGTTGTCACTTTCTTCCTTTGATTTCTTCCCTCTATAAGACGAATCTTTCAAATAAAAATCGTGTTTCTCTTATTTTTCTTTCTCTTTCTTTTTCGACCTTACTTCGTTATCGGCAAGTCGTTTCAGCTCATTCTCATGTTCGACTAACTTTCTAAACAACTTTGTAACATCCAAAGTACTAAAATCATTTGATTATTTTATAGAAATGACCTTTGGTTGCCCTCTCTCTGTACATAGATATCAATATTTCTTTAGTACAATATTTGTTGGAAAAGTTTTTACCAAAATTGTTTAATTTGTTGATTAAATGGAGGAATCTAGTTGCATGAAATCCACTTATTCTCTGGGTTTCGTACGAAATAGTTCAAACTCTTTTGTAGAGATATTGATTTTAGAATCCTTGACGTCATTTCCATCCTCATAGAGTGTTTGGAGATTGTTCCACATACCTTTAGCACTCGTATGATGTGAAATTAAGTAGAACACTTTAGCGCTTAAAGTGGAAATAAGTATGTTCCTCGCTTTCAAATCACATGAAGCATTTTTGGTTTTAGCATCATCCTAATATTTTGGATGTTTAACAACATTGTCATTGCCCTTGGGAATAAATGGTCCCTCGGTGATGGCACACCACAAATATTTGTCAACCGATAAAATGGGTACATGTATGTTCACTTTCTAATAAGTATAATTTTCGCTTTTGAAAATAAGTGCTCTATTTTATGCTCCCTTAGGATCGTCATCTTCCGTAATATTCATAAGTTTTAGATGTCGTTTAGACACAATCAATAGGTGATATAGTTTGCATTTGTTGCACCTGGTGGGCATGTAACTCAATACACAAAAGAGGGGGGGGGGGGGGGGGTTGAATTGTGGAGGTTTGGAAAATTGTTGATTTAAAATAAAATATTTTTTAAATCAGAGTTTGAAAACACTTCATAAAAAATGTTTGAATAAGTAGTGGAAATTAGAAGTAAAGAAATTTAGTGGAAAGTAAAAGAGACAAAGGAAGAGAGAACAAGATCAAAAATTTATAGAGGACCGGTCTTAAAGAAGTGACCTACTCATCTCCCCAAGAGTTGATCTTGAGTGTGTCCACTATTGCTTGAGAGTGTTTAGAAGCTTAAATCCATGAACTCCCTTATACAAGGGAATGAAGTTTTAGGCTAACTTATTACTAAGCAACGTATTAAGGAATGAAGCAGTTAGTCTTCACATTAAATAATGAACAGAGCTTCAAGCGGTTAATCTCTGAGCCAAACAGAGATTATGCGTAGGCTGATCTCGAACCAAGATGGAGTTTTGAGTTGGCTATCCTCCTAACCGAACCGGTGTTTATACTGACTGGCCACAAATCCAACAAATATTTTTAATGAATTGTTCTCAAACCCACTCAGCTTTCACACAAGATGAACGCAAAAATCAAGTGAGATTCAGGCTGATCTTGAATTAATAAAGCTTTTGACCGGATTGAGCTAAAGAACTGTTGTGAAGATTTTTCTCTGTTTATTCTTCACAAACCCAAAAGAGACTTTTGTTTTTAATGGCAGAGCTCACAAATCAAACAAAGAGAGAGAGAGAGAGAGAGAGAGAGAGAGAGAGAGAGAGACCAAAAACCCTATGAAAGACATATATGCGATAGAAAAAACGGAGGAGTAAACGCTATTTATAATAATAGTTTCACAAAAGATAGTGTTTATACAAAAATGAACCATAAAAAGTATTTAAGAGCTGGAATGTAAGAACTTTAAGATAATATTGTTGAATTCCTCTGGCTTTTCAGTTTGAGGCACATGGGACGCCTCCTTCATCAACTCTATTCTTGCATTTTTACTGATTATCCTGCAATAGTTAATAATGAGAAACCAACATCTCGTGCTAGTCATATTTTCAAGCACTAAGCTAAGCCTCTAAAAAGGTAAAAAAATATTATTGTGAAGGATTTGGATACATACCCTTTCAGTTCATGGGCCATCTTCACAGGGAATATCTTGTCATCTTCCCCCCAAATTATGAGAACTTCCTGCTAATTTAGAGTAATTGTTTATTAATCACCCACAATAATGCTCAATTATAGAGAGTTGCATGTAATTAAAATATTAAGTAAAGAGAATTACCTGTTGAAGAGGTGAAATATTTGAAGTATCAATCTTTCCGAGGGACAAGCCACCTAAAAGCTCCATCTTTTCCTTCCTATTTTCCGAGTATAATTTCTTCCATATGACAGATTTACATTAATTTCTTTCTATCTTTTTCATACATATAATTAAAATTGATTTTTAATTGATATTTTAAAAATTTATTTCGATGTGAATTTATTTTAAAATAATAGAATTTAATTCAAATATAACTTTGATGTTCAAATACAAAAACTTAATACCAATAATTGTTAGAGATGTTTTTTTTTGTTTTTTTAAAATTGTTTATTTATAAGTCCTAAAAGATTCATTTAGCTCATCTAGCAAATAGCAATTGAGTTAATAAGAAAAAACTCTCCAACGATGTGACTTTGCTACATGTGGAATACGAAGATAATACTAATTCCAGGAAGAAATTTTTTGTCATACTAGAAGTCTGGAATACGAAGCTATTAATAATTTAATCTATGTGTTTTTATCTACATTTTAAATTGTGAATGTTAATTGTTTGTGTTATTCTGTGAGTCAAAATAATATAGTAATTGTGGAATGTCAGGGTTTGAGACTAAAAATAATTAAAGGTCAATGTGTTTAGTTAACTCGATGATTTGATGTAATCATGAGCTAATCATTGCCTTTGATGTAATACAATTTTTGGCATGATACGATTCACAAATGTGTGTTGTTATTTTTGATCTATAAATTATTTTACAACAGTTGTTTTCTTTATTCGTTGTTATAAGTAGAGCACTACCTAACTTATAACCATGTTCACTCGTTCGTTATGAAAATCAGTATACATACAATCACACGCTACCTAACAACGGACGTGAAACCTTCATTATATGTGTTTTACAATCGTCATTATATGTTTTTTCCGTAGCAGTAGAAGGTACAAAGTGTATGAATCTTTCATAATCTCACATATTGTTAGGAAAGTTAATTACGTTCCTTATCCTTCAATTCATCCATGTAAACAAGGATGGTGCGTTATAATCAAAATAAATCCATTGAGTCATATTAAAATTGACGATCTAGTGAAAGATGTTGCTTACCAAGATTATGAAATTTCTCAAATTTATGATGTGATTGAAGTTGAACAAACTACAAGTTTTTGTGATACAATGGTTGATGGTCAACAAGTTGATGCGTCTACATTGTTGGTAGAAAATAATGTGGATGGAGAGCATGAAGAGTTTGAATTCGAGGATAATATCAAATTAGATGAAAACAATTAAGAGTACGGTGATACACAATTTGAATATATTGTTTTTGTAATTTTACTTAATGTATTGTGTATATATTTTGTTGATTTATCAATTGTAATGTGTTGATTTATTACTTGTATATATCGTGTTGATTTATTAATTGTATATTCTCTCAAAATAGACAAAATGCTACCCTGACTTGATAAGGGTAAAGGTAAGGCCCAACACATGAGGATAAGGGTACGCGAGGCACCTTTGTCGCCATATGTTGTCCTCCCCCCAAAGTCAAGCGGGTCCTATATCCATGAGCACTTCTTAACGTCCTACACCTTTTATAACACTACTTTCCTCCCATGATTATCCTATGGTCCCATCTAGGAACCAAACTTTTATCAACACATCTGGACATATGCCCTCATCATACCAGTAACCTGGGGATCTACCTTTTCATATCCCACACAGGTACTATCATCATACCTACGCATGGAAACATAACCCGTACCCGCGAATATCCTCCTGAATCCGCCTCGAAGTTGATGGAGAAAATCCGCTTTGATTGAGTTTGGATTCAGATTTGGATTTTCCCCGATTAAAAAATAAAGAGAAGGATCGGGTAATGGGGACACTAGTACCCACCCCGAACCCGTTCTGTTTATTTCATTATGCATATTACTATTTAGGTTTTATAATTTCGAATATTAAATATGTGGTCAATATTTTGATATTTTGATTTGCATTAATTATTTAAAATATTTGAAATGTGTGTATGAAATTTTTTGAGATTGTTTTATTTTATTATTAGTATTGTAATTTGATTTTGAAAAAAAAAATTCTATAAAAAAAATTGATTTTACAAAAAGGATGGTAATAGGGTTGGGGATACCCGAACCCATTCGAGATGGGTTTGACTTTTAATTCTCCATATTTGTTGGATTTTGGGGCGAGGAACGAGGATTGTATAGGGATTCAGGTTTAGGTTTGGGAAAGGTAAAAATTGTCCCCGACCCGCCTCGTTGTCATGCCTAATCATACCAACAATCTGAAGGATATAACTTTCCTCATCCCATACAGGGACCTTCACTCTACTAGAAGCCTGGGAGATCTAGTTATTTATATCACACACAGGTATCCTCATCATACCAGCAACTTGTGGGATCTAGCTTTCCACATCCCACACATGTACCCTCATCCTTCATGTAGTATAAGGGATCTAGCATTCCACATCCCACACAGACACCATCATCATCCATGCAGTTTGAGGGATCCCACATCCCATAAACATATCATTATCATCCATGCTAAATCATGTCATTCAACACTAAAGGACGAATTGGAAGAAATGAAGAAGTGACAAATTGAGTTCAAGGAGCAAATGCGAGAATATATCTTCTCACAAATGAACCAAACATATAGTACAATGGGTGAAAATCAAGGATTTGGTAGAAATGGCAGATTTGAAAAAGTTGGTGGCCAAGGAGCGGTAAATGAGGAGGATATAGAAGAAAAAGAAGATGTGTTGATGTCAATGATTGATTTTCTTATAGTTGAATTTTTTTATTGTTCTTTACTCTATAATTTTTTGTATTTTATTAATCATATTTAATTAAATTTTTATAAAATTTTCATATTTATAATTACCTTTTAAAATAAAAATATAATTTTTTATTTTATTAATTAATTTATGAAAATATTTTTTTATTAAAAAAATCAAAATTGCAAAATAGAAAGTATATGACAAAATCATGACATGTAATCAATTTTGCAACATGTTATTCACGTCACAAATGAGTTCATATTACACCCCTACTTCCTTCACTTATCTTTGCAGTCTAACGCGTAGCTAAACAATGTTGCACCCTATGTAAAATTTGTGATGTGATTACCGCATAGTAAAGTTTTGCGACATGAATACCACATGATAAAGTTGCAACATGTTTTTCACGTAACAAATGAGTTATTACTAGTGTTCCTGCGACGTATTCGTTCACGCTAATTTGGGTGTTGGGACGTGATATTTTGTGTTGTGACGTTTTTTTTCACGTGGTAAATGAGTGTTTTTTTTGTAGTATCAACCTCGAATCCGTTTTATTATTTAGTTTTTGATAATATAGAATATTAGTTATGTTGTCAATAATTTTATATTTTGATTTTTATTTTATTATTTAAAATGTATATCTGAAATTTTTTGATATTATTTTATTTTTTTATTTGTAATATAATTTAATATTAAATAAATATCTATTTTTATTAAAAAATTATCAAAGAGATGACAGTGTCACGATATCTAAAACCGTTTAAAAATTATACTTTCAATCATATTATACCATTATGTAGCGGGATATAAAATTAAAAATATTAAAATAGATTGTGATTCTTCAAAACAATCCGCTCATTTGTAAAAAAATAGAGGATGAATTAAAATTTTGAGCATTCCTTTCCACTCAACACGACCCCGTCAAAATAAATATCTTTGCGAGCTAAAGATTAACTATAGGTTAGCCCACCAAACCCATTTATTTTCTAAAAATATTAAATATAAAAAAAACAGCCTCTATTTATAAATTAGGTTATCTACTTTTTTAATTATATTTTTTTACTAACAATTGAATTTATTTTATTATTTTATAATGTAAACAAAAATGATGATGAGATGAAAAAGAGGATTCAACATGTTTTAAAAATATATAAGATATTATTGATCTTGACGATTAAAATTTAGATTTTAGAATACTTCATTTTTGTTTTGTCAGACAATATTATAGAATTTGAATCACTAAATTTTGGTGTGATGGTTCTATTTTGATCGGTTGAATGTTTAACTATAATTTTGGAATTATGGTTGAGGGTTTTATGTTAGATGAAAAAAGTCTATTAATTTATTAAAATATAAAATAAATAAAATAAAATAAAAAATAGACTGACAAACTTATCGTCCGTCATTTCCTCGTCTTTAGATTTTTAATTAAATTTTTAAATTTAATTTCATTTACAGATTTGCCTGTCCTGCAAATTTGAGACAGAACAGGACAAGTGCTCAATCCTTTTTATCACCGAATGGTAATTGATTAACAATTAAAAATTATTTAACATTTCAATGAATATTCCACTTTTTTAGACTTTTATCGTGTAAGTTAATCATAATTTATTATTTAAGGTCTATCGATTACTATGGTTTGTTGCTTTGATTTTCAAGTGGCAAAACATGAACAGAAAATTGGAATAAGAAATAAAGTAGAACTTACATTTAAGAAGTCGTTCAAGAAAAAATCAGGCACGTAAGGTATTTTTTTAGCCACCGCAAGTTTCATCAATTTCCTCAAATTTTGTGGAGATGAAGGCAACATAAGGTCCTCAATTTTCTCCACTCCAGCCCTTTCCAACAACTTCACGTTATGATTCTTCGTCATATTAACACCAGAGCTACAAATAACCACTTTCTCAATTTTCTCTTCCCCCAACATTTTCGCCATATTATAAGCAACAATACCTCCATAACTCGTCCCCGCCACGTGGCACTTTTTCACACCTAATTTCTCCAACAATTTTCCAACCGACTCTGCTTGGAATTTCTCGCTTCTTTCCTTGGATCTCGTTGTGGATTCACCGAAGAAGATTAGATCGGGAACGTAGAGATTGAAATGAGGAGCGAGAAATTGAACTTGTTGACGCCATTGCCATATCGCCATAGGACCGAATCCGTGAATCAGAACGAGAGATGGTTTTTGTGTGGCTTGATTTGTTGGTCCCCAAACATGGAGAGTTGTTTCGGTGTCTACGTCGATTTTTTGAGAGAAGAGACCCGCTCCGGTGAAACAGCGACGGAGGTAGCCGCTGTATAAGCCGGTGAAACTCACAAACGATGGAAGCATGGTGTTGGTTGGTTAGTTATTGGATCATAAAGATGAGAATTTGAGAAATGAAGAAAAGAGAAAGTGTGATGTATTTGTACAGTGTTGTTATTGAAAGGTGTGACGTATGGATGAGTCAGCTTGGTAGGAGAATGTTGCAAAATTTTCTGTTTGAGAAAATAATTTATGAGAGATCATAAATAGTTGGGTATTTAGTATAAAATAATTAAAAATATTAATTTAGTTTTAAATAAAAAATATATAAAATATGATCTGATATTGAATATAAATTGATTTATTAGAGGAGAGTATTGGTATCTATCTAAATTTAAGAGTTCAAATCCGAAAAAATAGTTTTTTTTTGTAAAAAGAAAAAGAAAGTTAGTTAGGTTGGGTTGGTTTTCCATTATTATGAAGAGCCAAAAGTCTCTTTCTGCCTGCTTGTTTTTCAATATTCAATTTACTCTCCGCGAAATAACAGCGGATCGAGATAAATTAGTATTGTCATCATCAACCTTAAAAATTTTGTTATGAAAAACATATAAAAAAAGTTTAGTTATATGTTTCTATCAATTTTTCTACTATTAAGATCTACGGGTGTGTATATATATATGTTTCGATAATGAAGTCAGCTTCTCAATCATGACGGTGTACGGTGTATCAGTAAATGATCGTGTGACGGGTGATATTGATTGGAATATCTAATATTTTTTTGGAAAGCCAAAAAAAATTAATTTTTTTTTAGTATATAATCTGAGTATTGTTTTAAAATTATCATATAAATTATAGATTCAGAATTTTTTTCAAACAGACCACAATTTGCCGAAAGGATTGGCGGTAGTGCGTATTTGGTTTTGAGCTCAAGTGGAGTCACCAAAGAAAATGACAACAGTGCGTAATTGGTTTTGAGCCTGACTATAGTTGCTCAACCAATTGGCGACTCAGACCAATAGTAAGCTAGAGTTTTTTTTTTTTTTTTTTAATTTTTAAAATTAATTATTATTAAAACATAATTATTATTAATATTTAAAATAAAATTTTTAATTAATAAACATAATTATTATTAATATTTTTAATTTTTTTTACATAATTTTAAAATGTTGTTTTTAATTAATAAACTTAAAATAATTAGATTTAAATAAAAATAATTTTAAATTAATTTTATAAATTTAGCTTAAATTGATTTTATAAATTTAAGTTTAACAAATATTGTTTTTATACATTTAGGTATAATATAAATATAATTGTGATTATAAATTATTGTTTTTAAGTAATAATTATAAATTAAATAATAATTATTGTTTTTAAATTTTAAATATTTTTAAAATTTTAATTATAAATTAATTTAAATACAAAATAAAAATCGATTAACCATTTAATTTTAAAGCATATAAATTGATTTAAATTATAAATTTTAAAACATAAAAATTGATTAACCATTGAATTTTAAAGTGTATAAAGTTTGTAAGGGTATTTAAGACATATCATATGGGGCACGTACTATTTTATTTTTCTATAAATACGACTGCAAACACATATATGTTTTCACAACATTGTATACCAAAAGACTGAAGTGTTGGTGCATTTTGAGTGGAGTGGAATCTAGAATGTCTGCATTTCTAAATCAACGTTCTTCGTCGTCGTCATCAGCATCGAAGGAACCCTTTCTAATATTCGATCTAATGAAAAGAAATGCCCTAGTTGTCTTTTCAGCAACAAAGCCTCCGATGAAGGTGCTCCTGTGGAATACACAGACGTTAGAGCACTTGCATAGGGAACTGAACTGCTGGCTAGAAGGAGATATTTTCCCAAGAGAAAAGATTAGGAAACTTGAGAGGTTGGTCGAGGAGGCTGGGAGAAACGGAGTTACTCGTGAATGGAGGAAAGTAGAAAATGATGTTGGTGTCCTTGTGATGATATTAACACCGAAGAAGATAACGTTGATGGTCGTGATATCGTAGACGCCTTGGTGCAGTGTTCTGTTTTATGTCTTTATGTTGTTGTTATTTTCGAAATGTTGTTGTGATATTAAGTTATGTTTGTTTAATTTTTGTTGCTTGCTAATTGTAATCAGTTAAGTATGCCTTTAATCGAATGAAATTTGCTATTGATTTAAAGGGACACGGTTACATATGAAACTATGATTTGCTTCTTGATCCTACGTTAGGATATTTTGTACGATTGTGTCTTGGTGGTCGATCCGAACTACATAATCTTACCATCTTGTCTGCGGTATACATCTCTGTTCGAATGCGCGTGCTGTTAGCCTGACCCTTTTTCTTTTTGCGCATCAAGTCATTATGTCAGACAATTTTGCCTTCGTAGTGAGGCCAATAGTCCTCCTTTGCCACCATCTGAGAGCTACATGTGTAGACATTGCATAGACTTATCACTTGGTGAACTGCAGAAAGAAGGTTGATTGGGTCTTGGCGCGCCTTCGAACATGCTGCTATAACATGAGAGCAAGGCATATAGAATGCCTGAAACTTCCCACAGTCACACCAGCTTTTATCCAGTTCAACACGGTAACATCCCCTAAGCCTTCCTTCGTTGTGATCAATCGACTCGGCAACACTGAACTAACCAGTTGTACAGTCAAAGATTGTGACCACGTGTGTGTTGGCTTTGGCAGCTTCGTCTTTCATGAGTTTCATTGAAGTATCACTGTACAGCTGACCCGATTGTAATATCGAACCCTACCTCGTACGTCTGCTATCAAAGAGTGAGCCTAGCCTAAAATATGTTGCCTTCACCAAGGCAGTTATTGGTAGGTTTCGGATTCCCTTGAAAATAAAATTCATTGATTCAACGAGGTTAGTTGGCATGTGGCCCCATCGCACCTCATTGTCGTATGCCCGCGTCCATTTCTCTTTATCAATGTTATCAATTCATCTTAATGCATCCGTGTTTGTTAGTCTGATCTCGTCACGGTAGTATTTGAATGTGGGTTCTATTAGTGCATATCCTGCGTTCACAACCTTCTTCCGTAGCGTTTTGTCTTTGATTTCCCGCATGAAATTTTGGGTGATATGTCTTATGCAATAGACGTGGGTCGAAGGAGGATCCTGCCAACCGTTATCAAGGTTGTTGTATGCACTCTCAATTGACGGGTGTCTATCAGAGACCAAACATAAGTTAGGTTGGGGAGACACGTAAAAGCGGAGATTTTTTAAGAAAAAAACTCCAACCCCCAGCAGTCTCCCCTTCAACTATAGTGGAGGTTATTGGAAAAATGTTGTTGTTCCCGTTCTGTGCCACAGCCATGAGCAGGGTGCCCTTATATTTCTCGTATAACCATGTGCCGTCAATTTGAATTATAGGTTTACAATATGCAAACCCTTTGATGCATGGTTCAAACGCCCAAAAGAGTCTGTGAAAAATTCCATTTCCACCCACGCAAATCCCGTCTGGTGTACACGCAGACATTGTCTCTAATATGGCAACATTCCCTGGAGAGTAGTGCTTAAGAGCCACCAGGAATTTTGGAAGTTCCTTGTGCGACTCCTCCCAATTTCCAAACACCTTTTCAATCGCTTTAGTCCTAGCAATCCAGGCTTTTTGGTATGAAGAAGTGTAATTGTACCTTTGAACCATATGTGCAATTATGGTACTCACCTTCAAATACGGGTTGTCACTAACGACTGACAGAATCTCATCGCAAATCAATCAAGAGATGAGTTTGCGATGGTCCTGCATCGGATTCGAGATTATACAAGTGTGGGTCGGACCCATTGACCCTACCTTCCAGGAATCGTTTCTCTTCCTAAAAGATGTTGTTAATCGGAACGGACACTCCTCGTTACGACAATAGATCGTATACCGTGTCGGATTTGTCCAATCGACTTTATAATTGGCCGACAACTCCATGTGAAATTGTTTAATTGCCCGGACACAATCTTCTTTGCTACGAAACTCATCACCCTCTTTTAGTTTCCCTTCCGTTGCGTAGTTGGGGTTGCAGAAAATATTCGTTGAGGGTTCATCACCACCTAAGTTGAGAGTTGTCATGTGCCGAGGTGGGCAATAAACATGGTCGGGTGGAACCCCATCTTCCTCGTTGTTCACCATCTCGTCAACAGTGACTTCAGCTGCTTCTTCTTCTTCGTCAATGACATTGACTTCAGCGTGTTCCTCGTCAGAATCGCAAAAAACTTGAGAAGATTCCAGTTGTTGAGACAGTTGTTGTTGTTGTAGCGTAACATGTAACACGATATCTGAGAAACCAGAATACTCGTGACTGCGAAACATGTTACACACATCTTCATCGTCTCGCACCTTTAACGGGAAAAATTTGCATTCAACATGCCCGCCAAAAAACACTAGACTTTGGTATATTATTTGGCCAACTGGACCACATTGCAGTTTTTTTTCTATTCTTGACTTCAAGTGTATAAAATTAGACCTTCTATCAATTAAAAATCTCGTAACATATGTGCTTCTGAAATTGTAACCCGATATTTCACATTTGAAAACTTCACCGTTAAGATGTGCGAGAATCATATATTGTGGTGTTTGAGACATATCGAAAATTATATTTGGAAAGGCTGGGTGAGTAGAGTTTGAGAGTTTGAGAGTTTAAGAGTTTGAGTGTGAGCAGATTTTGCTGGGTAAAGAACCTCTGTTTATAATCCAGGGATGCATGTCACTTGGAAGTGAATGCAGAGCAAGTGTCTTGATGCATGGGTGAGTAGGAGCGTCGCATGCCACCAACATGACAAGACAACACTATGCCAATTCATAGTGAATTGATTCCTTGCATGGCTACGATGACGATGCAGACCTACGAGATTCTTGAAAATTTATGTCACATGGCTACAGTAACAATCTGTACACCATATAATGCATTGGTTACCAGACAAGATTCCTGCATGACTACGATGACAAGATAGGACATTGCTTACCAGCTGCACTCTGCATGCAGCATGCTTGACAAGACAGGACATTGCTTACCAGCTGCACTCTGTCTACAGTAACCAAATTCTTGCATGCCTATCAATGACCCTGCAGACCTACGACACTCT